ATGGTGTGCATATTATTGATTCAATTATTATGTTCATCAAACAGTGAACAAATACTTTGTCGGTTATTACACTATATACACAGGTTATATATAAGTATCTGCATGTTTTGTTCACCATAGTGAACCACTAAGTTGGTATTATGAGTCAAAAAGCAACGAGGAGTGACCGCCACACACCAGCCAGCCACTCGCTGCCACTCACTCCCTCAACACCTCACTCGCCTACATTCTCCTCCCACCATACTGTTTTTGCTTTTATTCACTATATACAGACGTTATATATAAGTATCTACATTCGTGTTCACCATAACGAACCACTAAGTTGGCATGCTGAGTGGCAGCCAACCACTCAGCATGCCAGTGGTTGGCTGAATGGCTGCTGCTTCCTCCCTGCTTGAACTCACCTGACTCGCCCACATTCTCCTCCCACAATACTGTTTTTGCTTTTATCCACTATATACGGATGTTATGTATAAGTATCTGCATGTTTTGTTCACCAAAACTGTACAACTAAGTTGATATAGTTAGTTCAGGCACTGAGAGACTTCACTACTCACACTCAGCTGGCAGCTGCTTCCCTCACACATTCAAATTCAGACACACTAAAATTTCACCCCCAACAATACGGTTTGTGGTGTTATTACCCTATATACAGACATTATATATAAGTATCTACATGTTTTGTTCACCATAACTGTTCAACTAAGCCGGTATAATGCCCAAAGAGCATAGTGGCCACCCCTACCAACATGACAAATCAAGCAGATGTTGCCACACCCATCACCAAAATGGCTTCTTCCCCACACTCCTTTTGTTGTTATTACACTGTATATACATGTTATAAGTATCTACAACTGTGTTCACCATAACGAACTACTAAGTCGGTATGCTGAGTGGCAGTGGCAGCCAGTGGCAGTCCGCCACTGGCTACCACTCCCTTGCTCTCCCACCTCACCCGACTCGCCACCATTCTCCTCCCACCATACTGTTCTTGCTTTTATATACAGACATTATATATAAGTATCTGCATGTTTTGTTTACCATAGCGAACAACTAAGCTGGTATAGTGAGTCCAGACAGTAAAAGGTGGTCACACAGAGTCAGCAGACAACGCTACCTCCCTCCCCACCAAAATTACTTCTCCCACTACAGCGCTAATTATCACAACAATCCTGCTATTATCAGAATCCTGGTCATTTTTATTACCGTCAGGGGTCTTCTGTAATAATATCATTGCTAAATATATGCATGAACATGCATGAACATGTTTATTATGGCATTTATAGGCGATGCTGTGGTCACAAGCTGAACAGCAGTGCTGTGAGCTCATGCTGCCTGCATCAGGCTTGGTGGCTCACTCAATACTGAGGCCCTCGCAACTAGGAATTTGGCCCACATCTTTTTTTTTTAAATGGCGTCTGTTTACAAGAACCCTGATGAAGGTGAGGTGAACCCCCGTGTATCCGTGGGCCATTTAAATCTTGCTTAGTACTCCAATACATCATATGATGGGATGCACATTTTATAGCAAGTAACTCAACCCATCATATGATGTGTTGCGCAATTTAAGGGTTAAGGCAAGAAAGCAGGACACCGTAGCCTGAGCAACAAAGAGGGTACCTCACACATCCTTTGAGCTTTGATGTCCAAAGACCTTGGAGAAGATGTGGGAGGAAGAAGGATGGGGCAGTGAAATTCTTGGAAGAGTATCTGGATGTGGAGAGAGGGGGGGACTTGAAAGTTCGGTGGCCGGTATACCTTGGATTGGAGATGTTTTTTCGGTCAAAGCCTATAGCTTGAGTTCTTCTTAAGTGGCGGGAGGCTAGTGGTGAGGCAGTGTGATGTCGTCCTGGTTCTCACACATCCATCAACAACAAAGAACCGAGGGTGGAGCAACCGGCTGACATGCTCTACCTCCCTCTAACCCCCCAAATGAGGTGGGGTGAACGATCTCATGAACTTTTTAGGGTTTGTCTACATTGTTGAAGGAATCCTGTTGGTGGTTTTTGAGACTACGCTCGAGTGTATAATTAGAAGTGGTCTGCTTTGTTTTACTGATATTTTTGGGTGCTACCCTAGTAGTGGCAGACAAGATTAAATTCACTATAACCTTATCATAAGTAATTACCTAAGTAATTACCTAAGTGTAGTTACAGGATGAGAGCTATGCTCGTGGTGTCCCGTCTTCCCAGCACTCTGTCATATAACGCTTTGAAACTACTGACGGTCTTGGCCTCCACCACCTTCTCACTTAACTTGTTCCAACCGTCTACCACTCTATTTGCGAAGGTGAATTTTCTTATATTTCTTCGGCATCTGTGTTTAGCTAGTTTAAATCTATGACCTCTTGTTCTTGAAGTTCCAGGTTTCAGGAAATCTTCCCTGTCGATTTTATCAATTCCTGTTACTATTTTGTACGTAGTGATCATATCACCTCTTTTTCTTCTGTCTTCTAATTTTGGCATATTTAATGCTTCTAACCTCTCCTCGTAGCTCTTGCCCTTCAGTTCTGGGAGCTACTTAGTAGCATGTCTTTGCACCTTTTCCAGTTTGTTGATGTGCTTCTTAAGATATGGGCACCACACAACAGCTGCATATTCTAGCTTTGGCCTAACAAAAGTCATGAACAATTTCTTTAGTATATCGCCATCCATGTATTTAAAAGCAATTCTAAAGTTAGAAAGCATAGCATAGACTCCTTGCACAATATTCTTAGTGGTCCTCAGGTGATAGTTTTTTATCTAGAACCACCCCTAGATCTCTTTCTTTATCAGTATTCTTTAAAGATTTCTCACATAATATATAGGTTGTGTGGGGTCTATGTTCTCCTATTCCACATTCCATAACATGACATTTATTAACATTAAATTCCATTTGCCAAGTGGTGCTCCATATACTTATTTTGTCCAGGTCTTCTTGAAGGGCATGACAATCGTCTAAATTTCTTATCCTTCCTATTATCTTAGCATCATCAGCAAACATGTTCATATAATTCTGTATACCAACTGGTAGATCATTTATGTAGATAATAAACATCACTGGTGCAAGAACTGAACCCTGTGGTACTCCACTTGTGACATTTCTCCATTCTGATACATTGCCTCTGATTACTGCCCTCATTTTTCTATCAGTCAGAAAATTTTTCATCCATGTTAGAAGCTTACCTGTCACCCATCCAATATTATCCAGTTTCCAGAACAACCTCTTATGTGGAACTCTGTCGAAAGCCTTTTTTAGGTCCAGATAGATGCAGTCAACCCAACCATCTCTTTCCTGTAATATCTCTGTGGCTCGATCATAGAAACCGAGTAAATTCGATACACAGGATCTTCCAGATCGAAAACCATACTGTCTGTCTGATATTATATCATTTCTCTCCAGGTGTTCTACCCATTTAGTTTTGATTAGTTTTTCCAATACTTTCACTATTACACTTGTCATTGATACAGGTCTATAATGGAGGGGGTCTTCCCTGATGCCACTTTTGTAGATTGGAACTATGTTAGCCTGTTTCCACATGTCTGCTACGATTCCTGTACACAGGGATGCCTGAAAGATCAGGTGAAGTGGAATACTGAGCTCAGATGCAGATTCTCTCAGAACCCATGGTGAAATGCCATCTGGGCCAGCTGCTTTGTTTTTACTGAGCTCCTTTAGCATATTTTCCACTTCATCTCTAGACACCTCTATGTGCTCTATGATGTTCTCTGGAATTCTTATTGTGTCTGGTTCTCTGAAGATTTCATTTTGTACAAACACACTTTGGAACTTTTCATTTAATGTTTCACACATTTCCTTTTCATTTTCCGTGAATCTGTTTCCCATTTTCAACCTCTGGATATTATCCTTTACCTGCAATTTGTTGTTTATGAATTTGTAGAATAGGCCTGGTTCTGTTTTACATTTATCCGCTATCCCTTTTTCAAAATTTCTTAATGCCTCTCTCCTTACTGCCGTATAGTTGTTTCTCGCATCTTTGTATCGCTGGTATGTTTGGGGGTTTGGCCTCTTCCTATACTGATTCCATTTTTGTGTCTTTTGGGCTCTGGCCCTCTCACAATTTCTGTCGAACCAATCCTGTTTTCTGGCCCTGCATCTCTGTTTTGGTATGAATGTTTGTGTGCCTTCCTCGTATATTTTTTAAAAAATTGGCATACATTTCATCTACTTCCCTGCCTAGCAACAATTCTGTCCAATTACATGGACAATAGGGAGCTGGGAGTCATTCCATTAAATGCCAATGAGTTAAGCCAATACATAACCTAGTCAAATCTGTTTCCCATCACCTATTATGGTGACAGAAGAAAGGTTATAGGATAAGTCACTTTTACAGGGACTATACAGGGATGTCTTATTGCATCAAACATTCCCCAACACCAGTGCAAAGACCATATTCTCTCTTGCCCCAGCTCAGACAGAACAAACCTACCTTTGAGACCTGCTACTCATGGCCAACCCCTCCAGTGGGTGGTTCCATGACCCAAACAGGCACCTTATGTGGTTTCTTTGCACGTACACCACCTGGATAGGGAGGCCGAAGCCATCCCCCACGGTCTTGAAAATGTAACTAAGGTGTCAAATGTGAGCCCCCCTCATCACATGGCTAGATAGCCTCTAGGGAGGGAGGTAGGCAGACTCCAGTTTTAAATTACAGCGCTGTACTTTCACTTCCTGTTTACAGTATTTTCACATACACAATGACTTTATCCTTATATCCTTTATTTTCCTAGAAATTCACTCAACATATTTCATTAATAATCTTTACACCTTACAATTTCCTATTCAATGACTCTCTCCTATGAATTATTAATAGTTAGCTCCAAATATTAACTGTTTTATAACTATTTTTTATCAAAACACACAACTGAGACATACCCTCATATAATTCTCTGAAAACACTAAACCATCACAGTAATATATTTCAAGGCAGTCCGTCACTTATACTGTACTACCAACTAGCCCCTCAGCTTCAAGTCATGGGGAAAAAAAAACAAAAAAAATTGCATTAAACATGACTTTAATATATACAACATTTTCTTGTAGACTGCATGTACAAAATTTGGGAGGCAAGAGTATAAATTATTAACTTTTCTATAAACCAAAACAGTATGGTTATCTATAAATCATTTAAAAATCACCAAATAGCATTACTAAATTATTAATATGCAGCATTAAATTAACAAACGGAACTAAACTTTGGAGGGAAACATTAAATGAATATTGGGACAAATATTTTAACCTATATTCCGATTGCTTGGAAAGTTATCTGGTCAAATTTTGAGGAAGTTTCCTCATGTTGTGGAACTGTTTATGTCTTGTCATATTTACAACCTACTCTGACTCATCCCCAGATGATGCTTCTGAAGATGATGTGACAGGAGAGGATACCTGTGCTTGTGCTGTCATGGCTGCTGACGCTGCAACGGCTGCCCTTCTATTACTACGGGTGGATCGAAAGGCATTTATTTCTGTGGTTTCTTTGCAAGAAGTACGATTCATACTACATGATGGCTTGATGTTTTTAGTAGGTACCTCTGCTTTATATATTTCTTCCAATTCTTTATTCCCTTTTCCTTGCTTAGATCGAATAACTTTTTTTGAAGCAATCTGCTTTACCTCTGCTTTATCCATCAACTGTACAACCTTTTGTGGTTCAGTTATCTCACTACTTTGAGGCCCATTACAATCATTCTGTCGTAAACTTTCTCCACATGTCACTTTTTCCGATTCTTCCGAGGCCATTTCACTGCAATGTTTGCCCTGCTCTCTTTCAAGGACAGCAGACCTGGTAGCAGCTCGGGTTGTTCTTTGTGGTAATATTTTAACTACTTGGAGTTTGTCCTCCTGATCTACTGCTCTTTTTACTCCTTTTTCTTTATTAAATGTAGTTTTTGGGGATCTAGACGACTCCCTCATTCCAAAAAATTCTACTTTTATCTCTTGATTTTCCAATTCCGAATTTAAACCACCTCCTTTGGGATATATTTCCAATTTTTCTACGAGTTCTTTTAGTTCAGACTCCTGTTCATCCAAAGCCACTGTTTTGGTTATTCTTGATGGAGAAGATATTTCTATTCTAGGTTCCTCTTCAAAAGCTGAAGTTGTAGATTCTATTGAAAGAGAAAGTCGTTCTACTCTGGATTCCTCTTCAAAAGCTATACTTGTCGATGCCATTAAAAGAGAAGGTAGTTCTATTTTGGAATCTTCTTCCAAAACTGTACTTGTGGATGCTATTAAAACAGAAGGTAGTTCTTTTCTGGATTCCTCTTCCAAAGCTGAAGTTGTAGATTCTATTGAAAGAGAGGGTTGGTCTATTTTAGATTCTTTTTCCAAAGCTGAAGTTGTGGATTCTATTGAAAGAGAAGGTCGTTCTACTCTGGATTCCTCTTCCAAAACTGTACTTGTGGATGCCATTAAAAGAGATTGTAGTTCTATTTTAGATTCCTCTTCTAAAATTGAAGTTGTAGATTCTATTAAGAGAGAAGGTAGTTCTATTATAGATTCCTCTTCCAAAACTGAAGATTCTACTGAAAGAGAAGGTAGTTCTATTCTGGATTCCTCTTCTAAAGCTGAAGGTTCTATTGAAAGAGAAGGTCGTTCTATTCTGGATTCCTCTGTAGATTCTATTGAAAGAGAAGGTCGTTCTATTCTGGATTCCTCTGTAGATTCTATTGAAAGAGAAGGTCGTTCTATTCTGGATTCCTCTGTAGATTCTATTGAAAGAGAAGGTCGTTCTATTCTGGATTCCTCTGTAGATTCTATTGAAAGAGAAGGTCGTTCTATTCTGGATTCCTCTTCCACAGCTGAAGTTGTAGTTTCTGTTGAAAGAGAAGGTTGTTTTATTCTGGATTCCTCTTCCAAAGCTGAAGTTGTAGATTCTATTGAAAGAGAAGGTTGTTCTATTCTGGATTCCTCTTCCACAGCTGAAGTTGTTGATTCTATTGAAAGAGAAGGTAGTTCTATTCTGGATTCCATTTCTAAAGCTGAAGTTGTAGATTCTATTGAAAGAGAAGGTTGTTCTATTCTGGATTCCTCTCCCAAAGCTGATGTAGTTTCTGTTGAAAGAGAAGGTGGTTCTATTCTGGCTTCCTGTACGAAAGCTAAAGTTGTAGTTTCTGTTGAAAGAGAAGGTGGTTCTATTCTGGCTTCCTGTACAAAAGCTAAAGTTGTAGTTTCTGTTGAAAGAGAAGGTCGTTCTATTCTGGCTTCCTCTACCAAAGCTAAAGTTGTAGTTTCTGTTGAAAGAGAAGGTGGTTCTGTTCTGGCTTCCTGTACAAAAGTTAAAGTTGTAGTTTCTGTTGAAAGAGAAGGTCGTTCTATTCTGGCTTCCTCTACCAATGCTGAAGTTGTAGACACTGTTGAAAGAGGTTGTTGTAATCTGGGTACCTCTTCCAAAGTAACTTGTGTGGATACTGTTAAGATGGCAGGTACAGTTAGTTTTATTCTAGTTTCCTCTATGCTTTCGGCAACAGCCATCTTTGAGCCCCTAGATAATGGTTCAAGGTTATGCTTCATTTTATTTTCCTGGCCCATTCCTGAAACAGCTGATATTTTACTGGGATTTAATTCATGCTCGTGTTGTTCAAGCTCCTCCATTTTAGATTCTTCCTGATCACCAACTGTAGTTCCCATTATGGAAGTAATTTCGTGAGTGCACTGATATTGCCTGACTTCTTCCTCTGCATGAACATCCTTTTCAGTTTTTGCACTTTTTGAGTTATTTTTGGATCCAACTTTATCAAGTTCAATTTCACAATCTTCTTTGCAAGTTAATTTATCAGGCTCAGCAACTTCCAATGATGACTTCAACATACCTACTGGAGTAATGTCTCCTTCAGTGATTTGGGAACTTTTAGACCTTTGACTACAGCTTTTATCTATATATTGTCCACTAGGAAAGAGAGATTGGAAACCTTTTTCAAACTCTAATTTGTTACAAGATTCAAATTTGTCATACAAAGTTTCTTCAATCTTTTCAGCTGTACTTGGAGACAAAATAGCATCAGCATATACTCCAATATTTTCATTCAAGTTTTTAGGAATCTTAATATGTACTAGACTTTTAATCTCGGTTTTCTTACCATGAATTTCACCAGCTGTGTCTGTACTTCCATGTTTTACAGATTCATTTGTACTATTCTTAGCTTCATAATTCATACTTGCTGTATTGTCTTTCAAGGATTCAGAATCAAATTTAGCAGAATCACTATTGCCACAACTTAAAGATAAATTTTGGGTGGGAAATTCAGGAGCCTTCAGATTTTTGTCCTTATCAATAACTTCAAGTGCACACACCTCCGTGGTGTTAATGTGCTGAACTGAACTTGATACACCATCAGTAACTGGAAGGTTATTTAAATCAGGCTTACATGCTGGTATTTTAACATCAGATGATATTTGAACTTTTAAATCAGGTCTCACATTCTGGTCATGAAGTAATGAAGAATGTTCCCCAACAGGAAGGTGAGAAACAATATCTACAGAACTGGATGAATTGCTGCAAGTCATTTTTACAACAATCTTTTCTGGGGGAACAAACGTTTCATAATTTTCTTGATGAACTTGTGAAGGAAGTTCTGCATATTTCTCTCCCTCTACAAAGTACATGTTGTCCTTACTACTAACATCTGAAGGAGGAAACAGCTTGGCACCATCTTGCATATTGTGCACATTTTCTGTATTTTCCAGACTAGAAGGTAATGGACTGCTTTTGGAACTTACATTTTGGCAAGATGTGTTGTTAGCAGTTACAGATTCAGAACTTGACTCTGTCCCAGGCGGTGGTGGGGTTATTTCTCTCTTTTCATCCAGACTCTCACTTTCACTGTCTTCACTTAATTCCATACTAGCTTCTCCAAGTTCAACAGGCACATCATCTAATTCATTGATGATCAAATTTTCTGTGCCTGGAGGTGGTGGTGTTTTCTCTCTCTCTCTCTGATGTAAGGAACTCCAGTCTGTAAAATCAGTAGCAAGTTCCACAGCCATGGGTGTAGCTGTCTGCAGGGCTGGCCACTGTGGGTGACCCATACCTAATGCCAATGCTGCACTTGGCACATCTGTACTTGAAAGTGAAATGGGAAACTCGTCTAAACTATTACTACATGAACTACACGTTCCTGAACTGTGTTTCGGAATATATGTTTGAGAAGTAACCCCTTGATTATCTAAATCACACTGCAGTGCAATATTTTCTGCTACTTCTAATGGTGGAGGAAGGCAGGAAATATTTTGGAGACAGAGTTCATCTTCTGTACCGGGTGGAGGAGGTATTTCCGGAGTTACTTCAGTCCTGACTGGAAATGACACTCTAAAATCGTCTTGGCTATTACTACCAACACTGCATGCCCCTAAGCTGTGTTCTTGAAAGCCTGGTTCAAAAACAGGTACTATCATAACTGAGGAAACGGGATCATTTTCACATGCCAGGTGGTAATCTGGTCCCTCATCTTCTGTTCCTGGTGGAGGAGGTATATTAGGGTCTGATTGACCATGAGGTAATGTTTCTGCTTCAGATGAAAAAGGCAACTCTAATTTGTCTTTATTTCCAGAGCATGAATTTTTAAGACTTTCATTACTATTGCCGATAATACTCCAAACCCCTGAGCTATGATCTAGCACACCTTGCTCAGAGGATGGCATCAATGATTGAGAGTTTTCAATTACAGAAACATACGATTTGTTTTCAGATTCATAAGTGTCTGAAGGATCATCTTCAGCTCCAGGCGGCAATGACAGAATTAAATTTTGTTGACTTTGGGGTTCATGTTCTGTCCCAGGGGGCAAAAGTATATCTGATGATGAGGCAGTTTCAACAACCGTTTTTAAACCTGGTAATGGGATGCTTAGAAGATCTAAAGCATGCAGTGTAGCAGCAGCAGCACATTCAGAGGACTCATCATTTCCCATCTCCAGAGAGTCATACATTTTAAAATCATCAGAATCACTACTTTCTTCATCTTCTATATTATATAGTTCACTGACATGCTCTTGAAGAGAGTTTACAGATTCTGTTGACGAGATATCCTTGACCTCGTTCAACACTGGCATACTAACGTTATCACTTGCATCTTCACCGTTCCCAACTAATGGTAGTTCTTGGGTTTCATGTATTTTGCTTTCTGTCTCCTGAGTAACAATTTCTTTATTCTGGCAAACCAGTAATGCAGCTAAATCTCCCAACTTCTCTGCCTCAAACTCTGCTTTAGCCTCAACAGTAGACAAATTACTTTCTAAGTGCACTATAGCTTTGGCCTCTTCTACCAACAAATCAGGCTGTACAGACATCTCTTGCTTAATACATGCTACTTTCTGCTGCTCTTTGGTCTTTGATACCGAAGGCTTTTTCTTCAAGAAGGGCATTTTCCCAATCAGAGGGAGTTTTGGAGCGGCAGTCTTCTTTTCTTCCTCTTTATTTTTAGAAGTATCTCCTGCATCTGTACATAATTCCTGTTGAACATCATTACCCTTTATCTCCTTTTCACGATTACTGTGACTCTTTTCATTTTTATGCGACTCGCCTCGCCTTGAAGAGTCATCCTTCAATTTAGGTTTTGATTTCACATCATCTTGATGATGGACCTGATGCTCATCAGACTGTCTTTTCGAACTGTCGCTGTGCCTGTGACGATCATCATACTTTGTGTCAGCTGAACGGCCAGATCCTCTTGAGGCAACCCTAATGCTTCCACAGTCTTTGTTTTTATCCTCTCTTGCTTCTGTTGCTGTTTTATCATCCCTATTTTCCTTTTCAAACTTTTCCTTATCCCTCTTTTCTTTTATCTGCCTCAGTAACTTTTCTTCTAATTCGAAAGCTGCATTTTTCTCTCTTAGATTCAGCTGTCCTTCAAGAAGCTTTCGTTCTTCATCTATGCTGTATTTTGCATATGCTGCTGTTTTTGCCTTCATGAATGTTGACTCATACATAGGATTCTTTGCTCTATGTACCTATACAAGAAGAGACAAAAATTACTAACATACAAGTTAATTTAGACTTAAGAGTACATACAGCACTTATCACAAAACAATTATGTGAACCCCATACAGAAAAGGATATCAGGTTGGTAAATGACATTTCAATTTACAGCAAAGTCTTTAACAGTACTGACAATCTAATGATACTAATAAATTCTTCAAACGAAATATGACGTACAATAAGGTTATCTTGAGGGTATCTTGAAATGATTTCAAGGTTTAGCGTCCCTGTGGCCAGGCCTCTTTTTTGTTGCACATCCCTAGGAAGCAGCCCATAGCAGCTGTCTAACTCCCAGGTAATTATTTACTGCTAGGTAACAGGGGCATCAGAGTGAAAGAAACTCTGCCCATTTGTTTCCACCTCCACCGAGGATCGAACTTGGAGCCTCAGGACTACGAATCCGAAGCGCTGTCCACTCAGCTGTCAGGCCCCTAAAGTGAGGTGTACAGTGAAACAAGAGAGAGACTGGGGAGCTACATGATCTCTGTTAAACAACCTGCACACTTAGTACTGTACCAATATTCAAGAAAGGATAGTCACATGGCCCTAAACTACAGACCACTTCCCTGGCATGCATCCCCTGTTAAGTACAATAGAGGAGAAACCTAGATAAAACTCAATCTTTAATTACACAAATACATACAGTGGATAGCTACAATTTAATTGAGATAGGCATTAATAGTTAAAATGCATTTCTGGGAAAATCCACTGGTGACTCCTGGGAATTATCTCGCTGAAAGTTATCTTGCTGAGAGCTCCACACAAATGGGTCACGTGAGAAGTGAGAGCTCTGTATGACTTACCATGTACCTATTAGTTGGTTCATCAGTGTGCTTGCTCTTCATCAGCTCCAGAACTGGCTAGCAATATGGCTGTGTGCACACAAGCCAGGTTGCCTGGTGATGGCAGCATTCAGTATTACGAGTTTTGTGCTAAATTTTAACATTTCTGTCGTTCGGTGTGAATCATTTGCAGAGTTGCTTGTCATTTTCAAAGTTCGGCCTTTTTTAACAATCCAGTTGTCTGTAAAGCTTCGACAAGTTTCTGGATGCTTTCGTGGTGCGGTGGCAAACTGTCATTTGTTCTCTGTGTGCCCCTGTGAGACATGCAGATTTTGGCTCTGGCCCCCAGTAACCCAAACACAACTTCTGCATCTGATTTGACCCATTTGCATGGATCAACCTCAGCAAGATATGCAGACGAGATAGCTCGGCAAGATAGCTTCAAGGAGCCACTGGGGCACATCCTTCCCTCCCCACCCACCCCCCACCAAAACAAAGAGAGGCCTTTCATTACATTCAATGCTGGGTTTTGCAATGTTACTAATTATGCACAGTACTTCAGCTAAGTCTTACAGCTCGCAAAATTACGGTGATATGCATAAAACTATTTGCAATGATTAAGGCATTGGCAAATGCAACAAATTATAATTAAACGGCGACATTATAATATCAGTAATATTAGTACTGGGAGAAAGTAGTGATAATGAGGAATGATACTAATAATAAAATTAGTACAGGTAGTTTGGGTAATGATGGGTTAAGTGGCAGGACTAGAGTCTATAGCTTCATATTACTAACCATTATTATTGTCATTTGAACTCTTGTGAGATGAGCATGCATGCATGCATACTATTTATATACACTTACATACACACGAATTTTCTCAATATTTCTTATGTTTCTTTTCACTGTCGATGGTAATTGAAAAATCAACTCTCCAAAATTCATTTTTATTTCTAGTCTGACGCGACACTTGAACGCGTTTCATAATAACTTATTACATTTTCAAAGACTTTAGTTTACACACACACACACAACTATGACCTACAAACACTAAACAGAGTTCTACTCTGCTATCATTTAAACAGCTCTCATCTTATATACCCGCATTTGGGTGAGGTGATATGTTACAACAGTGTTGGATGAGGTAAACAAAACTTTCAACACAAGACAGAACACAGTGCAATGGGTATAAATTGAGTAAATTAAAGGGAAGAATGAAAGTAACTGCAAAGGGCCTATTGGCCCATATTTCTTGATGCTTCTATATTGGTGCATAGTCTTGAAGTGGATAGAATATAGTTGTGCATTAATTGGCTGTTGATTGCTGGTGTTGACTTTTTGATATGTAGTGCCTCGCAGATGTCAAGCCGTCTGCTATCGCTGTATCTATCGATGATTTCTGTGTTGCTTGTTAAAAACTTCTCTGGTGATGGTCTGGTTGTGGGAAGAGATTATATGTTCCTTATGGATATGGAAGCAGCAAGAGGATGTATGGGCCAATAGGCCTTCTGCAGTTACTTCCATTCATATGTTCCCTTATCCAATTTATACCCATTCTTTCGTGTTCTGTCTTGTGTTTGTCACCTCACCCAAAACTTTTGTACCATATCACCTCATCCAATAGAGTGTAAGTACGAAGAATTTGTGTGTAAATTAAGTCTTTGAAAATGTAATACGAGTTACAAAT